GGACCGAGAGTAAGGAAATTTTTTGTAGCACAGTTAGCGTCCTTTACCCGACTTAAAATAAAATTTTCAATATTTTCTTGAACCTTAAAAGAAAATATAAAACTATCATTAGTATGTGCATAAATAAAAATATACCCGATGGATTTCCATGCAACTGGATTATATCCTCCAAGAATTTCGTCTCCATCTTTTACTTTAATAATCGTTACAGTATTAGTTTGATTATTGCAAATTTCATGGAACTTTCCGGATGTAAATCCATCCCGAGATCCACAAAGTAATAATTTAAATTCATATTGAATTTTTAATTCGTCTTTATCATCTACTCTATTAATCCATTTTGAGATTAATTCAGCATGTTTTTCTGTGATAATTTTGAATTAATATTAGTTGAGCCAATCCTTTTAATTTCGTTAGTTAAGTGAGGTTTTGACACGTCACTTGGACTATAGTCATTGTCCAAAAAACATTTATTTAATTCTACATATAATTCTTTTGGCAATGCTTTCTTGTATGGAAGAACTTTATTCAAAAATTCTCTGGCCGTTAAATTGTGGAATCTTATAAATGGAATGCATTGTTGTAAGGTATTCTTCAAAGCTTTGAAGTCATCTTTTGAAAAGCTGGAAGGATCCGAAGAAAGTTCCAGGTTTTGAGCGATTCCCCATTTCAGAACATATTCCCAAACTTTAATTCCACTCATTGAAAGTTTATCGTTTTGAATAAGTGTGACTAAAGATTTTTCTGGAATTGAAACAAAATCAACGGAATTAAATAACTTTTCCGGTTCTTTTAAGATTAAATTGGTACAAAAATTTTGAAGATCAATGAAAGAATCATGTTTTAAACTCGTCTGATATATCAAGTTGAAATTTTTTTCCATCCAATCTACTTTATTTTCAATCAAAAATAATTGTATATGGACGATTAATTCTTGAATACTTAATTCACAAGCGGCAACCAAAATATTAATAATATCTGAAATATCATATCCCTCCAAAGAAAGTCTTGCTCCGTAAATATACCTTTGAAATATAAAAACACACACACATAAAAAAAAATTTAAATAATTAAAATAATGAATTCTTAAAAAAAAAAAAACAAAAAAAAAAAATCTTTATAAATTTTTAAAGATACCTCAAGATTACATGAAAACTTTCAGGTAGAATATTTGGTAATTTAATATGTACCAAAGTTCCATCATTTCTCTTTTTGTTGGTGGACAAAATTCTTTGCAAATAAGGAGAACGATGATATAAAATTATCATATGGGCACGAAATACTTTTACATATGGATCCATACCAACTTCAATTGTAACGTCATAATATTCATTATCCTCTAAACATTGAAGTAAATTTTGTGATAATTTTGGTAAAAACTTATCATCTGCCATTATAATTTTTATTCTGACTTTTTATTAATGAGAAAAGAAACTCCCTTTTATATTGTGTGAGATGATGATCACATGTTGCACAACATTATTGTTTGTTGTGTCACCCGTAAAAGCGAACAAAAAAAGAATAAATTAAACATTTGTATCCAAGTTAAGCATGCATGTGAATTATGAAAAAAGTTTGGTAAAGGCGTTTAAATACTAAAAACTTGATATATGATGAACGAAATTGTCCAGCAAACATCGATCCGTATGCAAAACTATCATAATGTCAAAGGTTTATCAAAATATTATAAAAATGTAATAAAGGAGTGTTTATATTAGGATAAGTTTTAATCAATTTACACAGCCATCTGAAATTTAATCTTTTACAGGGGTAAAATCAAATTCTATTAAGAAAATATCTAATGAAAAAAATTGATCAAACTGTTCTTATTATTTGGAATATGCCTTTTTTTTTTAAATTGCATAATCCGATTTTTTACTTTTCTTTTATCCTTGGCTAAATCTAACCAAATACGACTTGCATTTATTTAATCATTTTGCAAACCAATATATAACATTCATAGGCACAATAAAAAGTTTATCCAGAGTTTTTTTTTTATATTATTATTTAACGTATTTAGGTAGGGATATTAATCGGTCCTTAACCGATCCTTACGGTTTAAGAGATTACTAACTCTAGAGAAATCTAATTACTTATCTATAATAAGTAACCCCCATCAGTAAAAAAAAAATGTCAAATATTTTATAATTAATTTCAAAATTGACAATTTTGATGGGACCGCTAAGTATAGGACCGGTCCTAATCCTAAAGTTTTAAATTTTTAAGAAACTCTGGGATTTCAAGAGGGTTTATTTTTTTCGTTAAGTAGCTTTTATAATAGATAAGTTTAATAATAAATTTGTAAGAATAATTTTTTGTAAACTTCTAGGACCGCTTAACATCCCTATATTTAGGAGAGCAAATTCTAAGAAGACTTTCTTTGTGTATTCTCATACATATTCATAATGGTACCCGGACGCTTTTTTATACAATTACTTTTTTTTGATGTATGACTAATTGCATATGTCCGCTTATTTATCATAAATAAAAACCAATAGTAAAAAAAAAATGTTTCTTAAGAAGTATATCGAAACTTTGTTTATGAGGCTTAAGGTATTTATTTAATTCTCGGTTGCTTTTATACTTGAAATAAGCAAACAATCCTCTTTTACTTAATAAAATTAAATAGCGCTCGTAACGAACTTTCCAGAAAATATTAATAATGAAGAATGGAATAAATGAATCCCTAAATTTTGGGATATTATTAGTGAATTTTATATATATAAATTATTTCAAGAATGCATGGTGATATAAATTACCTTGGAAGCGAAATTATACTTTTTTATACCTTTATATTCGTTAAAACCTACACTTTTTTTTTGATTCTCTCTTTTTACAAATTATTTTCTTACATTAAAAAATTTGCAACTAATGTGTTTTCTAAAGAATTAAATGGTAATTAAAAAACTTTGCCATTTCTTTTTTGAAATCAGCCAATTTTACTGAATTCCACATTAGAAAACCAACATTTTCAATTTCTGAAAAACGATAGTTTTGGAACTTGGATGTCACCATCATTTAAATTGCAACAACTCGTTTCTTGTTTAAAATAAATAGAGGAGACTCGAGTGTTCCATTCCGCGATTATGATGATCAAAATTGGTAAATGTTTTAAATCCAATTTGGCAAAATCTTTGATTCAATCTCTTAGGTTGAACGTTATCACATGAATTTTTTTCGTTGCATTGTTTTATAATACGAAATAACATAAGGAAAATTTTATTTTTTGAAAGAAAATATTGGTTCGGTGGTAAACAAAAGAGTTCGTCCCATAACTTAATAGATTCGATATATTTTATCCAAGGTTGATTGGAACACGTGATTATTAATTCGGAAAAATTAATATTAAAGATAATCAAATAATTCATTAAAGCAAAGCTTGAAGAACACAACCTCGTTTGTAATTTGTGTGTTTATAAATGCATCGTTTGAATTCTAGGCAAAATTGAACTTTTCTTCATAAGGAAAATTAAGAAAATGTAATACTTGTATTATAGTTCTTTATGAGTTACATCTTGAAGATAATAATTAGCAACTTTACATGTTTAATTATGATACGTAACTTTCTTTCGTAATAATTTGACAATATTGAAATTATTAGCTTTTATACCATATATGTAAATAAAAACTAGTTCAATTGCTAGGTATATTTCAGCTTCTGGAACCTTTATACTATAGTTTTTTTTTTATCATAAAAATGCACGATAACTGTACGGAATTTTATTTATAGGATTGAGAATATTAAAATAACTTAATTTAATTTAAGTGCAATTTTTCATTTAATAAAACAATTAATTAGTGAACTATAGATTTTTTTGCAATGGAAATTGAAATTTTGTTAAAAAAATTATCAGAACTTGATTTTCCTAACTATTTTTACATATTGAGGATTTGGAATTTAAATTATCTAATGAAAAGCAAAATAAACTGTTCAAATTTATTTGATTTTGCACAAATTTTCGTTTAGAATAAATCCCTGAATTAAGGTTGTACTTTCACAAATTCGCATTAGATTTATCAAATCATTACTTGCGATGAATTTTTTGAATCTAGGCCTTTGATTATTTGTCGACACTTTTTCGATTTCCGTTTAAAACTACTTAATTTGGTTCCGTATTTCGGCATGGCACAACAAAAGTAAAAGAACAAAAACTAACAAAACAAATAAACATAAAGTGAAAATTGAATATTTATTTACAAAAGAAGGAGCGACGACAAAACAGCAAAAAACTTTCTGCAACGAGCATTGAGTTTGGAACCGGTGTTAACCCGTTTTTGAACCGAAGTCAAGTTAACCAAAACACGATTAAATCTAACTCAACGCAGGCCCGTCCTAAGAAAGATTTATACAACAATTTATTTAATACGATTCTTTGTGTAGTGTTATATTCAAGTCTATATTGAGACACGATAAAGGTTATTTATTATTCAAGATTTCGGACGTCTCTTCTCAAGAATAGTCAACCTTATCCTTGAACAAAGCGAATTTTCGGGTTTATATACAAACTTTCTAAATACTAACTTTCTATTTTAAAATTAAAACGAGTGAGATAATTATTTTAACTTTGCTGAAATTACTAAATTTAGCGTTAATCTAGACAATTTTCTACTGCTAATTAAGGAATTAAAACCTTTGGTTGAAGAAATTAAAGTGCGAAAATTGAGCAAAGAAGTAGACCAAGGGGCAGCCATCCAAAAATATATAAATTAAAACGCAACTACTATAATTATTTTAACACACAGCTACTGCGTCATTAGTAAATTCCGATTATTTGTAACACCGGTTAACTTTTAACCGGATGGTTTATAGATGAATTTTCAGCAGTGTCTAAAACTTAATTCTCTTCTCACACTCATATGATACAGTTCCATTTATTTTGTTAAGAAATGGAAGTGAAGGAATGATATATATGCAACATAAATATTTGGGGAACTTAAAAACATCATACAATACACACAGACATAAATTTTCTGGTGCAAAGATGAGGGTCTTAAACAAGATGAACCTGTCAGATCTTTCTCTGACACCATTCAATATTATCTATGTATTTGCAAAACCCGAATTTCACCATGAACAAGTAAGACTTATTTTCAAGGATTTTATGAATGACCGTGACTTAAAATCGATGATGAGTATGTTATCTGTGCAACTGTTTTCAGTGATCACATTATGTATAGTGGTCTAGGATAATAAGATTTTAGACTCCTATTCTAGCATTTTTTTTTCAAACAGTAATTTATATAGTTCATGTTGGTAATTATATGAATTCGTTTTTAATAGACATACTGGTCTCGTTTGAGAATATTCATCATGGATACTTTACAAAATCAATCTAATTATGCAACGTTTTCGAAAATGATCAAATCTTTAAAGTCGGATGATGCTCGAGACGCCATGAACCTACTTAGTATTAGATTTCTTGGTTCCCTTAATCCCGTGAGAATCATGGACTCTAATGAACTTGCATTAGTCAGGTTTGTGATGTCCGAAGGTGTCTTGACATATGAAGGAGACTTTCGAAATTCAAAAATATTTAGAATCTCTTCTCCGTTAATAGATTTACTTCATCCGGCAATTTATCATTCCTGATTTATACCCATCATCTCCACTAAATGTGGCTCCCCTACTAAATGACAACGACCTGGATACTTAATGTATTTTAGAGGAAGCACTCTACTACTTCGATAAAGACATAATCCAAATGGGATAATCTCGATCGTTCAAAATTGCGTCTGGACTTGTTAACGGAACAACATTAATAACTACAAATGTAATTTATGTAATTACACGATTAAACTTATTTCGACCCCTAAAATTACAAATATGCAATAGCACCGAACCCAGATCATGTATTTCCAACTGATCTAACTACAATGTATTGCAAAGAAGGTAAACACACAGATGCACCCAATTTTCCTATTAATCAAACAGAACATATAGCCGAATGCATCGATCATTTGACTGGTAGATAAGCTGGAACATACGATGCATCTCATCAGTTCGGTTCAGGCAGCTTGTTCAATCCCGAAAGTTATGGTGTTGCTACACATCACATTATTGATTCGGCAAACAAGTTATTTAATTATTAGGAGAGGCATCATCGAGGGTTCCATGATGACCTTAATGAGCTAAGTGATAAAATAATCCCAATAATCTAAAAGAATTGATCCCACCGCCGCTGCCACCGCATAATAAATACTTGTTCTTAGTGGTCTTACTTCCTATAGCTGCTATTGTACTTTTAGCTGCTCCTTATGCTTGGGAAGCTTTATCTGCATCAGCAGCTGTAGCTGAGATCTCAGAATCATCCATCGTCAAAGCGTCCGAACTTGGTGTCTAAGTTGGTGCTGCAGATGATGCTATAGCAATAACATCTGAAGGTACGCTAGCCAGAAATGCAGCGACAGGTTGGAGAAATTCAGAAATAGAATCTAAGGTCGGTGATAAAGCAAGAAATTTTTTGAAGAATACAAAGAAGTCAAAGTATTGGCAGGCTTGTGCGAAGAATTTGCTTGCTCTGACGATGACACAATTGAGGACATAGCAAAATACTATAGAAAATAATAAAATCAGAATATTTCACAAATCCTTGCAGCTTTGAATAGGGCTTATCCATTAGAAAAGAGGGATACCATGCCGGTGGATAATATAGTATTTTTACGGCTAACATGGTGAATGTATACTTTCTTCTAAGTTTATTGGAAAATGTTCATCAATCATTTACCGGAGATAATCAAAATTATTCAGATATTTCATCATATCTAGCAGCCGCAAGTGAACATCTCTAATTCCATTTTGAAGATACATTACACAATAATTTATTTGCTGCAAACAAGTCAATATTAGCTAGTTTTACTGTTAATTTATTTATGATCAAACACTTGCCAATGATGATGACGTATATAATACTATTAAAAGCAATACATATAACAATTTGGTGGCATCAATAATAAGCGTTACCTTAAGGAAGTTGATGTTGAAATATGTAACCCAAAACTCATTTTGCGGATAACCTTGTGATACTGGTCATATTTATTGTACAAATAGCTGTGTAATTGCTGCCCTAGATCACCAAAAAAGTGAACTTAAGTTTCATCGAGATCCTTTTGATATATTTTCAACTGATATAAGTAATGGTTAGAACTTTTTATAACAGAGAAATCTTTATGTACTTTTTTTAAAATAATAATAAAATTCATAATCATTCGTGTTACTGTATATTGCTAAGTTGATTTACATTCACTCTTTATAATTGACATATTAACATCGAATTCAGCACACCTTTAATAAATAAATGCACATTACTTTTGAAGAACCAGATAGAAATAGCTGTACTTTAAAATATCAATAAAATAATAACAAATAAATAAACAAAAAAAAATTTTTTGATCAGAAAAAAATATTACTTCAAATGATGTAAAGTATAAAAACTATGTTATTATCATAATTCTTGAAAAATATGAAAAATTAAATACTTGATAAATCTAAACCTAAAAATTTGATAATTTTTTTATATTAACATTCTAAAATAAATATTATTATCAATCTTTGAAATTTATTCATAAATTACAGTGGTTTTATTATCTTATAGTAGATTATTATATATATTATTTGTAATTCTTATCAAATTATATCAATAATTAAATAAAGATTTAAAAATAATAACATAATATTTATCATTATATATAAATAGATCTTAAATAGTAACATTTATCAATATATATAAGATAAATACTTAATTCTATTTATTATTTGAATCTTTTTATATGAAGATTAATAATAATAAAAAAAATATATTAAATATTATATTTAAATATATATAATAAAACAAAACATATTCAAAAAAGATAGAAATATGCTATATTTCTTAGAATTTTAACCCATAAATAGATAAGATAATGAAGGTTTACATGAATAAAAAATCCAAATTTTGATAAAAAAATTTCGCAGCATGATTTTTGTACTTACTAACCATATAACAAATTTTTAAATAAACCAACCTAACCTTCGAATACACTAACACTACTTTTTTAAACTAAACCAACGTATATCTTGACCATCGATAATCTTGTCCTAAACTGGGGTGTGTCAGGATTATGATGTTGAGATTCCGGGTTTGATGTGGTATTATGGTTGTCGGAAGACGAAAGGATAAATGAGCAAATGTTTAATTTTATTCGGTATATAAACTCGATGTTTGTGTGAACAGGTAATGAAATGTAACGACTTTAATGAGAAAGGTTTTATCTTAATTAAATTTATTAATAATAGCAACAATCAGGTACATTTAATTTTTGTTGTTATTAATTTTCTACTGCAAAGCATCCAAATTATGAGTAATTAAAATAATGTATAAATAAATAATATTTTTAACAACTTCAAATAACTTTGAAATATACTTCAACATCAAAAGTTTTGAAGTTTCGATAACGCCTAGAGACATTTTTTGTTGTTTCGTTTTAAGTCTGATAGAAAAATCAAAGAATTTACATTCTGAAAAAAAAATAATAATGAAATATAAATTAAAACATAAATTTTAATAAATGTCCCTATGGGAATTAATTTCCGAACTTGCCGACTGGATGATTTTTAGGTGCACCGCCCATCAGCATATTCCTAACCAATAAAATATACTTATATTTTAATAAAACTCATTATGGAGTTCATTAATTCGAAATTTTAGACCTTGACCTGATATGTCATGAAACGAATATAACGCGAAATATTGCTTTTGAATTTTTTGAATTTTTCAATTTGTATGATTGGCTTTTCCGGTCCGGTACAATCGTTTAAACTTTGCTAATATGATTGTGTTCGTAAAATTTAAAGATTTATTGAAATAGTATCTTCAATCCAATTGATGTTTGCATTTTGATTTTTAATTTCGTACGAGGAAAAAAAATAGGAATAATGTAGCGTTAAATTTTTACTGTGATTTACCCAATCAGAAATAATTTTAATAATAATGTAATCATATGAATGTCATAGTGAAAAGTCGGAAATGTTTGAAATACATTATCCAATGAAAGAAATAATTCACCGCAGACAAATTAGCCTTCGAACATTTTTATCAATCTTTCCTCTAGATCATTTATCCTTTTTATCTTTTATTTATGAATAATAATAAAGATGGTCTTCATAAAAATTTATTAAGAATTGGTTTTTTGTTCACTTCACGATTAAAGCAAATTAACATCCTAATGCGTAGTGGAACCATTTTCACAATGTTGCGTGTAAATAATTGAACGAAATGGAACAGACTATACTAGAGGTTGGAACCGGTACATTTTTAATCGGTTAATTAACCGGTTAAAACGGTTAACATGTTAACCGGTTAAAGAATTTTCGGCCGGTTCCAACCTCTAGACTATACCGATATTTTTCTTTAAAAAAATTGATTGAGAAAAGTTAAAGTAAATATGAAAAATGGAATAAAAATATAGGACGATATCATCAAATGTTTTAATGAACCGCTAAAAACGAATTCTGATGAAGTTCATCAAAAACAAATAACACTGTGGGAATTCTGGACGTATGATCAAAAGATCCCTATCGTTATAATAAGACTATGATTAGTAACAATTAATCGGTACAGAACATAAACGTCATTTAGATTTTCATGTGTGGCTACTTTATTTTATTGTATGAGCTTTAATAAATTCCTAATTCTAATATCACATTCCTCTTTGGCATAAGTGTCTTCATATGAATTCAATTGTGACATCAACTAAACAAGTGAATTTCTAAACCACTTTCTCAGGCAAGATACTTATTGATTTTATTTTGTATGAAGTAATAATAATTCTAAAGTATTAAGTAATTGGTTCATTTATCCAATTATAATTTATTTCTTTTTATTTATTTCTCTTTGCACTAATCTTATTTTAACGTATATCTCCTGAGCATTTTTTAATTGGTGAACGTGACATGAAATTCTAACGTAGTGAAAAAAAAGTGTGATGCGATTATCAAACAGAACAACTGGAATTTCCAATGTCACGAAAAATTTACTCTCCATTCCATTTTAGATTATTTAGATTACATAATGTTTGCGACATTACCTAACTTTGATTCTTTTCCTTTATGTCCCATTCTGCTACGTAAGCCATTTTTGGCTTTTCTTAAAATAATCGTAAAACTTCCAAAAAAAAATAAAGGAGTTTATTAATCTAATCTCCACTTGGTCAAATGACCACATTTGGTGCGTTAAAATTTCATTATTTTCCTAATTTCAAAATAAAGTAATTAATCTTAAAATGGTTTTAAAAATGACCTATAAATAACCTCTAAAGACTTGGAAGAAAAATTAAGGAAAATCAAAGTAAAAAAACTGCACTAACATTTATAAGATTAAAAGAACAGTTAAAGGTAACCAAGGCCAATATTAATGATATAGAAGAAGCCAAAGCTAAGAAAGTAACTATCGAAGATATAAAAAAAGTTATTAAATACGAAAAGATGAAGCTAAAGCTAACTATGAAAACTATTATTTACTACGACAAAAGATTGGAGGACCAGAAGAAAAAATATCCCAAAATTTAAGTATTATTCACGTTGTTGCGCCAGTTTTTTACGTGTAAATTTATATAGAAAGGAAAATTTTTTAATATTAGGTTAGTCTGATGTAAAATTTATTAGCTTAAACTAAGAACTAAAGAAAATTTTATTTATTTGAAAGAATAAAATTGTATTGATAAAAAGTAAAGAAAGACCTTTCTAATTCCCAATATTAAATTTTTTTGTAATGACAAATAGTCAGATGGCAATATGCCTAGAAGAATTTTTAGCATGTGGATTTACCAGGAGATATTTTGGCCATAAGACATATCGGCCGGAAGAAATTATGGCCAGAGATAAAATTGGCCAACTTAGATCTATAAAGTTTAACTTAAAATAATAAAGACAAGTTCTTGAGCGAAATATCTTTTGTAATATTAAACACTCAGGAGATTTACAAAGATATCGAAAATTAACAACTCTCGACTGCAAAAAACACTCAAATCACTAACTTACCAAATTTTCCTTATTCGTTATCAAAACAATATTAAATTATTAACTTGAGCGACTCATTAAAGAAAATTGCATTAAAACTCACATCTAGAGCACCGAACGGGCCAGGTCAGTTAGGGTTACCTCGTTAACCACCCGATATTTTTTTCATGTCGGGTTGGGCAGTTGACCCGAAAGTATTCAGGTTAAGTTCAATTTGGGTTAACCTGTTTTTTGGTAACCCGAAAGGCTTTATTTGATCATCCAATACATTGATAATATATCATTCTAATTAAACGATGGTTGATTGTTCTTCTCTAACAATAATATATCGTTCAACTAGAACGATGATGCTTGAATGATAAAAAATCGTTCTTAATAATGTATTGTTCAACTAGAACGATATTAAATCATTCAAAAATAACGATAACAATAATATATAGTTTAACTAGAACGATGGTGAATGTTCTTCTTGAACGATGATGAATTGGTAAGCGGGTTGATCGAGTCAGATCAAAATTGAAACCTGACCTAATATTGAGCCATATATCTGCTGAGATCTCTACTCACATCATTAGCATACCAACTTTATCTAACTTCTTAAATAACTAAATTGTATAATGATAATTCTCAAATAACTAAATTACCAAATTTACCTAAATCTTTAATACAATCTTAATTTTATTATAATAATAAATTTACTTAAAAAATAAAATAATTAAACTTTATTCTAACAGTTCTTTTTTAGTTAATACAACTAGATTAGGTTAGTGTGCGGCGAATTCGTCGCCGCTAGGTATGGTTATTAGAATCGATTTAATCGCGATTATCATTTCTTAAGATTCAATTAATCAAAAATAATAGATTGATCCATTGAGTTAAGTGCTTGAGAACACCCTAAATAAATTAATTCAGAAAAATAAAAATTCTGTAAATTAAAAAGAATAGGGAATATAATATGCAAATTAAAATATTAAATATTAGACCCACGATTATAAAAAAAAATTTTTAAATGCGGGTATTTAAAAATTAATTAAAATAATAACAAACGAGTGAAATAATAAATAATAGAAACAATAATAAAAAGAAAATTTTGTCACGCACCTGATTGCGCCGCCGTGACGAATCGACCGATCTGAATCTAAAGAAATCGCCATAGAGAGAGAGAAAAAAAAATTTAATTAAAAAAAAAAAAAAGGAAAAATGGGATTAGTAATCACAATCAATGAAAAAAAAAAGTATCGTCGCAATGAGCCGAAGGGTCCGTTCGAAATGCCGTACTCGCATTCATCCGAAAGAGCGGAATCGGTCCTAACCTACATGTATTTTTTTTTTATTCGTCTCCCTCCCCCCATTTATTTTTTTATTTTTTATTATTTTTTATTCGTCCTTCCTCCCCCCATTTATTTTTTTTATTATTTTTAAATTATTTACCCCCCCCCCATCTTTTTAATTTCTTTTTTTATTTTGTTTTTATTTTTTTTTTAATTTTTTTTTTATTATATTTTTTACCCTCTCCCCACGATCTTTTTTATTTTATCTTTTTACTTTTCAATAAAATTATTTTTATTTAAATATAAATAAAACAAATGGGTGACGTAGTCATCCACAGTGAAAAACAATTCCTAGTTAATAATTCAATATTAATTTTCGATTTTTGATTAAAATACGTAATATTTCTTAATCGATAGAAATTTTATTTTAAAATTAAAGATGTTTGCGCACTATGATTTCAATACAATAAATAATTATTTGGTAACGGAATAAGTAAAACATTATTTTAAAAAAAAAATAATTACAGTAATAAACATCCTCGTAAAATTTTTAAATATCTATTTTTTTGATGTGACATTTTATTTAAGTTTGCATTATCGTACGATAAATTTAGAATATAAATAACGCAGTGATAATGAGAAATATCTAAATAATCTAATTCATTCTCAAGTTCTTCAGATATAAATAAATTATAAGCAATCGTAATGATTATAATTGTTTAATATAATAAATGATATGTATAAATCAAGTTATAAAATGAAGATTATATCAATAAATTTCATCAAGGACGTTATATATTCAAAAAAGTAGATTAGTTTGGTAAATAAGTTTACTAGTAATAAAATTTTTTTTTTTTTAAAGAAATTTTTATGGATATTCCATGAAATTCCAACATTTGCCGCTCATTTAATTCTTATACTGATATGTAAATCTTGTAAATCTGTCAATATAATTTATCTGATTAGTCCTATATCTCCTAGACAAATATTGAAACGTAATAATCATTTTTTTGTTTAAATCATAGATTCGAGTTAATCTTCTTTATTATTTACTTTATATTCATAGTTAAGTATATTCTAAAAGAAATTTTAGTAGATCAAACCGCTTAAAAATATGATCTCATTGAGAGAAACATGAATATTTACGATGCAAAAAGGTGTAGTTTTAATAAATTAGGACAAATTTTTATTTTTTGTGACTTGTATTCAATCGAATTTAAATGATTTAAATGACGAAGATTCTTTATCAAAGAGTCACTGTGAGAATGATTCTACTCTCAAGTATTCTCAGTCTTTACAATCATTCATGCAAATTAAAGCTAATTTATTTTAAAAATTTATTTCATATACAAGTTTACATAATACATTGAAATTTTCCATAAAAATTTATTACCCGATATTGGAGTATTAACCGCTCCGTATCGTTTGAAGTACATTAACAATGTCCTAACACCTTCATAGTCGGTTCGGTAACCCGCAGAGCCTTATTGACCAGTAAGTATTAAATTGACGAAATAAGTAAAAAAGTTATCTATTATTCCCACCCGTAGTCAATTTTTTGCTAACTCGCGCCAAAATTTATAAATGCTGATCCGTCTTAAAGATTTGTAAACATCATTTTTTGCATGTATTCTTACAAAATAAAAAGTTGTAAAACACAATTTCATAATCAAATGCAAAAAACTACCTTTGATCCTAATTATATGATTTTCAATAAAAGATCCTGAATTTATTTCAGATGAATCTTCTCTCCAATTGACTTGGGTGATCAATTCTAGCCTAATCAACGAAAGCGGCCAAATAGATTAACAAACGAACGCATCTTCAAGACATTTAAATCTCTTAAGAGAAAAGTATTTCATGAAAATCGCAAAGGAAAAAACACTACTATGGAAGAAATATCAATACAACTTCAACTGATGAAGGTACAACTGAAATTGATGATATTTTCGACATTTATTCATCTTTTCAATACATGGAAGAATCAAATTCATCTAGTACTACCGAAGAAGCTTACTTCTCAACCAAAGAGTAATATTTCTTGTTATGGATTAATAATAACTGAACGGAGGATTTCTCAATCTTTAATGAAGATTTCGTTTTTATTAAAATTAATGATTGGCGGGAATTCTATAAAACTCTGTGAAAGGATGTGATATTATAATGAGAACATCTTTTATATTTCTTAATAATAGTTTGAAAATTTCTAAATAGCAATGTTGAACTTTACTTTTATTATAATTTTATATATAATTTTTTCATACATCGCTTTAATATAATTTTATGAATCTTACTATCTTTCTCTCGTATTTTAATATGTGTTGTCTATATATATCACCTTCTTGAATATTAAAAATATGGGTAAATTCTCATTTTACAATATATTTAGTCATAAATCTTGCAAATCCTTTTATTATTATATATTATAAATTCATATATGCATTCCAAATATAAAGTGTTAGTATATGATATAGTACTATCCATTTATCTTATTCTTTTTTACATTTATAAATAAATCTTGAATTATTTATATCTTCATATATATATTCTGAATATGGTTATGAAAAACCTTTCTTGCATGTTTCTCCTAAAGCAGTTGGTTCACCACATTTATAAATTTGATGAACTTTTACAAGAATATATAATTCTGTTTCTGTTTCTAAATCTGCTCTTATAATATTATCATTTATCATATTACTAATAGATTTTGTTGTTTATAGCATCCATGAATATGAGCTGCACAACAATTTTGAAATTCAACACATTCAAAAAAATGTAATATTTTTTCCCAGTTTGTTAATTCTGAATGTTTCTAAAGATTAATTTTTATACTTCTAAATGATATATAAAATGATGCATACAATAAAATAGTCAATTAGTTAGTAATATATTATGATTATCAGTTTTTTGATAAAATATTTTTTAAATGCTTTAATCTGTTTTCATTCATTATCTATATTATAAATAATTGAGGTAAACTAATATTATTTATCATTGCATTGATATGATATTATTTTTTCTGAAAATATGAGTCTCATATTCTGATAAAAGTTAGTAATATAGTAGTAATTTGTTCATTAATTATTAGTTTATTAGTATAAATACTTTTTTGAATTAAATCAATAGCACGTATAGGACCATAATTGAGATACATAATTTTATCAAAAAATTCTTTGATTATTTTGATGATTATTATACTTTTCTAATTGTAAATAAGACCATGCAAACTATATATAATGTAATCTAAATCTTAGATCTTTTCCTTCAATTCATTCTTTAATATATCTTCCATAAGTTTCAATTTTTTCATTTAAAGCTAAACTTTGATTTACCAAATCTTAATATGTTATTTTATCATCTAAATATAGATTAAAAAATAATAATACTTCTAAGTTAGGATTATTAAATGATATAGAAAGTGATAAATTGTTATCTGTTCTAGTAAATCCTACTATAAATTGATTAAAATTTATATATTCATCATGTATTTCTATATCAAAATCATTATTGAATACTATAATTTTACCTGATCTTATATAAGAATATTTATTTTTTCTAATAAATGAGTTGCTATTAAAAATGATGTATTAGGTTTTGATTTTGTTTTTCAAGATGTATTTTAAATAATTTTAAATAAGGATTATTATTTTTTTACTAATTTGATCCTTGAATAAAAGTAGGATGAAACTAATAATTTTTATCAGTAGTAGTATCATTTGATTCAAGAAATACTTCTAATATTCTAGAATATAAAGTAAAAGATCTAATATTTTTAGAATAATTTATAGTTCTTATAATATTACAATATTCACTAAAAGGATTTGCTCCTAGTATTCTGCCTATTGAAGAATGAAGATAAATAGATAATAAGTATTTGTGTTTGCTTAATAGAATTGCTTATATTTCAAGTAGATTAGAAATTAAATAAGGGAAAATATTCATTTGAAATTATTTTTACATGCAAGACAAATAACAATATATGCAGAAGAATATAAATATAATAGAAATTTTGATCTTGAAAATGCTTTTTTAAAGAAATATAAAATATTTTTCTATATAGTATCCATTTGGTCTTGTTAGAATATAGTAAATATTTACAATTTGAATTTGAAAGACATGGAAACTGTTTTAAAATAGTTTGATGAAATGTTTCATATAAATGTTTAAGTTTTTTAAATGGTTTTCATAGTATTGTAATATTGAAAAAAGGTTGTTGAATATTTACTTATTTTAAAATATTAAGTAATTGTGAATTATTTGAATTATTATCAAATTTTAATATAGATTCATAATCTTCAAGGTTGTAATTATTTAATGTATAAATATTAAAGTTTAATTTATTCATATTTAATAAATTTTTAAAAGATATTTGTAAAATTTTTTTTAATTTAAAATGAATATTAATTTTTAGAGAAGTATTGGTAGTTTATATATAATTTTTAAAATAATATTATTATTTTGTTATATTATTCATATTTATTTAATATTATTTTATTATATATAATTAAATATTTGTAATAATATTAAAATATTTGTAATACATTTATTGTATTGTAAATATAGTAATTATAAATTAGGCTTTTTGGATCAAAAGCCTAAATATTCTCAGGAGATCATCTTGGATATCAAAAATTAATCTCATAGTGTAATCCCATTATAAATATACACGTGATCTTAAAGAAATCATTTTACTTTCCTAATTGTTATTCATTTTGTAAACATTTGTTTTCTATATGTAAAAATAAAATTTCACTTTAGCACAAATAAGTCTGAAACCTATTTGGTTTTTATCCTGAATAACATAAATTTTTTACATATAATATAACCAAATTGCCTTCCTATAGTATGTACACAAGATATAAAAACAAGTAGTGTTCACACTCTATGAAGCATAGTAGAGTATGTACACAAGATATGAAAGCAAATAGTGTTGATACTATGCGAAGTGAAGTGAAGTATATACACAAGATATGGTATACAAATTACCTCTCAATAGCATACTGTTTAGATAGTAAGAGAGAATAAGCATGAGAAGAAGCAGAGTGATAACAAATGCACGTTTGATATAGAAGAATAAGTATAAGTTGACAAAGCCTTTTAGGGTAATGCCAATGAATACGCATTTGACAAGAGAAAAAATATAGTAGGAATATGAGCGAAGTCCTTTAGTGCGAAGCGAATATGGATGCTATATTTTTTTTGACCCATATACTACCCTATTCTAATGTATACTATATATGAGGTAAATATGAATGCCAATATTGCAGAGTGAAGCAGAGCATATATTCAAAACATGAGAATAAATAATATTCACAGTTATAGAATGAAGCAGAAAATATATACAAGATATGAAAGCAAATAGTGTTAATACTCTGTGAAGCAAAGCAAAGCATGAAAGCAAATAGTATTCACACTCTGCAGAGTGAAGTGAAGTATGTACACTAGATATAAAAGCAAATAGTATTTGCAGTCTTTAAAGTGAAGCAGAGCATGTACATAAGATATGATTACATAGTTACAGAGCAAAGAGAAGCATGTACCCAAAATATGAAAAAAATCAAGTAATATAAATGCATATATATTAGGTTTCAGGATCAACCCCAGAATATTCCTGTCACTATCTTCAGACTATTCACTAAATAAATCTAATTCTAAATCATTCTCAGAACATTCTCCATCATTAGCTTTATTTTTTATAAGCTTCAGACATTGATAAAATGCTCTAGAATAATATTTACCTGAATGCTTTTTACAAGCACTATATTCAGAGAAAGTTTTTTTATTACATCTAAGTTGTATACATAGATATTATTTAGGTAAATTCCAATAGACTTTGCAATCCTTTGGATTATAGCATCTCCAATTGCACTCTTTTCCAGTTCTAAGAATATATAAACAATAATAAAAATTCTAGAGTATCACCTTTTTTTCTGCCTCCCATAGTTTCTTTTTGAATAAATGTTTAACACTAATTATCTGAATAAAATATTTTTTATTTTAAAGTTTTTTCTAATACTATATAATCTTAGGAAAAAATGAGTGGTTTACTCAGTAGTATTACCAGCGCATTAGGACGATTGTTCAGAAACTTTTTACTAAGCTGAAAAGACCCAGCACTAGAACCACCTGATATAGCTGAATCTTCTGAACTAGAAGAAGAGCCGAAGATAGAGTTAGATGAGGAGAGCGAATATGAGATCACTTCAGTTGTTAAAATATAAATACAAGATAGTATTTAGCAATTTGAAAGTTTCTATTCTGGAGGAAGCAAGGTAAGGATATTGAGTTCTATGATAAGAATACACAATGGATTGACTCTAAAAATGATTTCCATAATTTATTAAGAGACTGGTTTTTAATTAAAGCTAACCCTAAAAAAACACTTCAGAAGGCTCATAAATGTTATAATAAAGAAGCTAATGCAATATTTTAGAAGAGTGGTGAATAGATAAACCTGCAAAAAATAGAAACTTATACTTCAACAAGTTTGTATTACTTTCAAGATGTTGCTAAAGGTCCTAGAAAAGCTAAAAACTTATCACCAGAAGAGAACCATTGGCTAAAATCAACCTATATAGGAGGATTAATATGGGCAGAGCTATATGAAGAAATTGTGACTGAATTAGATTATAATAAATTTTACCTAGACATTTTAGCTAGTAGTAATGCAGACTGGTTAATAAAATCAGGTGAGTTTAGAATAATCTCATATATTAGCACAGAACATATTAGCTATAGTTTAGAATATAGAATTTATCATGCTTTTATAAGAGATCAGCCAGCAGATCAAAAATGTATAAAAGGATTTTGCTATAATCCTGCAAGATATTACACTTACTATGATTTAATAACAGTAATAGATCTAGGTCTCCACATAGAGTTATCTTCCAACAGTCCTAATGCTCTTATATTTGAGCAAACTAAGCTCATGAGTGAACATGCTATTTTCTATCAATGGGCAAGAAATCTTACAGAAATCAAGCATGAAGGCAGACAGGTAGGTAAAGTTGCTAAGTATATGATAGTATCACTTAG